GCCCCAGTCTTCTGTCCAACCAGAACATGCAAGTCACTGGCAGTCTCTCCCTCCTCAGCCTAGTGCCCAACCTTGCATCTCCCATAAAATAACCCCAGCTTAACCCTGCTATCCATCTCACATACTGCAGATCCTCCAGATATCGCCCCAAGTCGTGTCCTTCCTCCCCTCCTTCTAGCCAGAAAGTATTTCATCTGAAAATGCCAGTTCAAAATGTATCCATTTTCCAAAGACCAACTGAACTGCTACTTCTCCGGACCAGGTCTTTGAAGAAATGTTTTCTCAACAATCCCTTTGTAACCCCACAATTCTGTACTCTATGGACCTGACCTGTCTGTACCATTATTATTATATACTGTCTTTATGTTTTACTTCTAATTTCCTAAATGGAAGACACACAAAAGGACCGCACACATCTCACTTATCTTTGCATGCCTCCATAAATTCTCTAGCTAGTGTACATTCAAATTGCTGAATCAGCCTCATGCATTCAGCTTCTGCTGCCCCAGATTTACATAACCACATGATACTTCTCCATGATTCAAAAATCAATAATTTTTTTTTTAAAAAAAAGAGAATTTAGCTAAGTAAGAAAGTCCTAAAACAACTTATCAAGTAAACTATGAGTTCCTGGAGATATACGGTAGTTTTTATAAATATGCTCAGTGTATTATGCTGAGCACACAAACATCAGTAGAAAACAGCAAACTAAAGATAAAAGAGTCTCCTTATTGCAGACATTCTTGGCTATTTTGATATGTGCATCTCCCACAAAGGGTACAGACATGACACCACGTTCTCCTCTTTACAGAACTCACAGGATTCTTCCTCTGAATTACATATTTGGAAAATGCTAGAATAAATTATATCCAATTGTTCATTTTTGCATCTTTTCAGATTTGCTGAAATGCTTGAGCTTATTAATTACAGCTAGAAAAGGCAAGAGGGGCATATTGGTTTTTTATCCTCTAAACTCAGTGAGTATTTTAAAACAGGTACCATTTATTAAGTTTTTCATCTGCTTGCCCTAGTTGTAATAACAGACCCAAGTTCAACATTCTATCAAGTTTCTTCCATACAATTTTATAAAGCAATAGTATCAAGCTACATTATAATTAGACTAGAGGCCAGGTGCACAAAATTCGTGCTCTCAGGGGCGGAGGGCGGATCCCCTCAGCCCAGCCTGCACCCTCTCACAGTCTAGGAGCCCTTGGGGGATGTCTGACTGATGGCTTAGCGCTGACGCCAAGGCAGGAGAGACTCCTGCCACTGCCGCTGAGCTCGCCAGTTGTGAGCCCGGCTTCTGGCTGAGCCGCGCTCCCCCTATGGGAGCGCACTGACCATCTGGGGGCAGCTCCTGTGTTGAGCATCTGCCCCCTGGTGGTCAGTGCATGTCATAGCGACTGGTCATTCCACCGTTTGATCGATCTGCACATTAGCCTTTTATTATATAGGATCATTCAAATTTTTAAATAAACTTCATACGTTAAGCTCAACTGGAAATGTTTCAGTATTTCTTTAAAATAATATATTTTTTTTATTGATTTCAGAGAGGAAGGGAGAGGAAGAGAGAGATAGAAACATCAATGATGAGAGAGAATCATCCATCAACCCCCATCCCCTGCACACCTCACACTGGGGATAGAGCCTAAACCTGGGCATGTGACCTGACCGGGAATCGAACCGTGACTTCTTGGTTCATAGGTTGATGTTCAACCACTGAGCCAGGCCAGCCGGGATCAGTGTTTCTTTAGTTGCATAATGTTACAGAATTATTTTCTTACTAAATATTTGGTGGTTTTTTACATACTGTTCATTAATTCAGAACTGGCATTTTCATTTCAAAAGCAAATAGATACTCAACCATGTGAAATAAATCCAGATTATGAATTTATTTTGTTTAATGTCACTCATGACTGAGAACAGTTTCAAACAATATTTGGAGAAGGATAACTGAGTGTGGCTATTTATTTTTAAACTGTGTTTTGACAACACATGTAAGTGTCTCCAAGGAGGAAACAGAATTATAAGGAGAACACTGAGGGACCACTGCTCTGGGAATATACATTAGCGCCATCAATGGCACCTGCAGATTTTCAACAGTGTTCAGAGTTCAGTTTCACAAAATCCCTAGAAAAATGTAAACAAAAAATGATGTCTTATGCTAGTTTACTGATTCTGTCGACAATAAATATTAAAGAATCTATCGCGTGGCACATTGTGGTTACTGAGGATACTGCAGTAAACAAAAGCCAATCTAGATGCTGTCCCCAGTGAACATATATGAAATAAACTAGAGACCTGATGCATGAAATTTGTGCAAGAGTAGGCCTTCCTTCCCCCGGCTGCTGGCACCGGCTTCCCTCTGGCACCCGGGACCAGGGCCTCCCCCCGGCCACCAGCAGGCACCCAGGACCCGGGCTTCCCTCCAGCCACTGGCAGGCACCTGGGACACAGGCTTCCCTCACAGCCTCAGCTTTGTCCGGTCTAATTAGCATATTATGCTTTTATTATTATAGATAAGTCATCTAGTATAGAGCTGGGCAGAGAAAACTAAAGTAACTACGGGAGTAATGGGGTGGTGGGGGAGGGGCAGTGGTAACTTCAAATTTGGAGGCAGACATTAGAGCAAGCACTTAAGGGGATAGGGTACAAGCCCTATTACTCTCCGGGTAAGAGCATTCCAGGCAGAAAGAACAAGTGCAAAGGTCCAGGAGGGGGCTCCTGCTTCGCATTTCTTCTAGTTTTCTAGAGAAATAGAAAAGTGTTTCTCTATTTTGTGATCTATCAGGTTATAATTTTCTATTTGGGGCCCAGGGGAGATGGAAGAAGATGGTATAAGATTTTAGCCAACCATCTCATCTGCTTTGTGCTTCTATGGCTCACAGGCCAAATCTGGCCCATTGTCTGTGTTTATAAATAAAGTTTCATTGAAAAAGCCTCATTCTTTGGCTCCCATAGCCTCTATGTCTGCTTTAACGCTACAACTGCTGAGTTGCTGATACCCCATACAGATCACATGGCTGTAAAGATTAAAATATGTATCATCTGACCATTTACAGAAAAAGCTTGCTAATACCTTCTCTTGGAACTCAGAATGTCTTCTAAACCAGTGCGACCCGCACCAAAGCAACATGTGACCGTGAGTTACGCACAGCTCGGTAACCTCTGCACAAGGAATGGGCAGGTACCCATTGTCTAACTAATGAGCATCTTAAACACCCTTCCAATGGCCAGAGTCTAATTAGGAAAAGGAAAAATTCAGATTCTACTTCTGGTCTAATACGTGCTTCTTGGTCAGTGACACATTGTTTCTCTCCAGTCATGGCAATATAATCCTGGAGAAATTTTTTAAAAAATTTCCTGGTGCTATAACAAACTCCTTTGTTTTCTTTCCTATATCCATTCCTCCTGGTCTTCGGGGGAAAACAATTTAAGCCAGAAAACTCAATTATTTCTCCTAACATGGAGAGATATAAATCTAGAAAACTTACAGCATCTAACCTTAGGCAGATTCAGAAGAGAAAGAAGGAAAAGCCAGAGTTCTGACAAAGAGAAGGGAGAAAATGTTCTACCTGTCCCAGGAGTGGCCAATAATGGTGACGCTTTCTCAGGGTGCCTGGAGCATAAACATGCCAACCCCGTAAAGAGCAAGGTGCCGCCAGAGAATACGCAGGAAACCATGGCTGCTGAGGGCTCTGTACCCAGAGTCTGCAAAACCTTCCAGTGATATTTTGGAAGCCCACTCGGATCTCCCTCAACGCTTAATTTTACAGAAATCAAAGAGCTGAGAATATGCGAGCTCACTCCTTCATTCCACCCTGTGTATGATCTGAGTGCTGACTCATACTTTGCTATTTACCAATAATACTGATGACTGATGAAAAGTAGACGCAGCTGACTACTTTATCATCCTAATGTAACCAGGAAGAAGAGAGACAAAGTAATTGGTACAAGAAGTACTTTGGTTTATTCAACATCTAATTTGCTAGAAGGATGCAATCATATGAAATGTTAACCATATAATTAAAAGCCATAAAAGTTTTGGGGGTTTTTTGGCTTTCTTAAGACATGCAATACCTGCTCCCACTAGGCAACTGATACTTCTTCTGGTAATTATTTGCTAATAAAATTTATTTCAGGTCAAACCAAGGCCTTCTGGAAATGATGACCATTTGCAGGGGGGCGGGGGGGGGGATAGCAGAGAAAACCAGCACATTGTAGAGAAATAGCAGCGAAAACCACCACATTAATTACTTAAACAGGAGAGGTTTAATACAAAAATAACTTAATGATTCATGAGGAACATTTCAGATAAATATTGCAAAAAGACATCCAAAATCAAGATGCTAGAAAACAATTCTAATTAAACATAATCCCTCCCCAAAGATTTCTCAGTACTATAAAATGCTTAAGGGACAGAAGTTTCTTTGTAAACAGGAACGATAAGTCTTTTTTAAAAGTATAATATTCAGGGAACTCTGACCTTCTGTGCAACATACAAAATTCAAAACAATATATTAATAACAGTGAAGGCTGAAATCTAACAATGACGTGTCTTCCCTTAACTACAATAAGCCTTGTATTCCCAAACAGAACACTGTTATGAGATGAGCAAAAGCCAAACAGTGTGGCCTGAGTGATACTAACTCAATCTGTGTTGTTTTTTTCTTTGCTACAAATTGGGACACAATAGTGAATTTTGGTGCAAAGTTAGAAACTAACCCTAAGGTTCTAGAGGTGAAATCGTAACTTCCAGTTTTAATCTGCTTTTCAGCACCCCTTAACCCCTCATTCCATTTAGCATATTCCACAGGCTTCTCTTATGTCTAAACAACAGCATTTGCAAAAGCATGTTGAAAGTCCAGAAAAACAATCTGTATGCATGGTGACGAGGGGTGAAGGAAGGAGGGTTAGTAGCAACCTTGCAGGTTTAGAAATGGATAAACTTGAATTTTTGAAAATATGTTACTTATTAAAATAAATGAACAAATACATACCCTTGAGGAGAGAGTTTGTCTAGCCAGCCCGATTTAACCTTCTTCGCAGACGATCCATAAAAGCAGGCATAAGGAGATATTGGACTTGAGGAAATGACTGATGAATCAGCATTTCCACTTGTGGAGCTTAAGGGATAACTGTGCCTATTAACAGGGTCCAAGTTCAATACTTTTTGAGTCCTGGACTTAGATGCCTTTGAATTTTTTCTTTTTAAACTCTGAAAGCATTCTTCTACTGTTGAATATTCTGAATCTGCAGCTCCGCCAGTCGGAAAATTGTTTTTGTCCTCTCGAGGTACCCAAATATCTTCCACTTTGTCTTCACTTACATTCTCCTTCCTGTTATCATATATGCTAAAGGGAAAAAAAATAGTGTAAACATTTCAAAGTGCTTATGCCATTTAAGCCATCGGTTATTTTTTACATTTATAAACAACCCACCGCAGAAATTTCAGACCAGGAAAATCTTAGCATTCAATTAATCCACCTGATAATTTTTAAAATTCTTCCAAGAAAATTAAATACAAATCTCTCATTATCCTAAGACCTATTTGAACACTACTAGAAGTAGTATATTTTTTCTTGTGTATCATTTAATCCTATCTGCTTATTTTGGGGGCTGGGTACAGGTGGTAAGCACGGGAGACTGGCTGTATTCTTTGCAATACAATTTAAACATCTTCACCAGCACCATTAAGCAGCCAGCCCAACCCTGGTCCCTGGGCAACATCATGAACGACTAACTTATGTTTTTGGAGATCTTTCTTCTAAACTCCTTGCCTCTCCTTTGACTCTCCACTCCCAGGACCTTATGTTCCATTACAATGTAATAGGACAGGGAGTCCTGACTGATGAGAGCTTTAGTATTATTTTGCAACACTAATGAGGAAGAACCAGACCGCACTGCTAGCTAGAAAATGAGAAAGGGTCAGGGTTACACTAAGAAGAGTGGTGTAGCATATACTATTTACTGGAACACATTCATAATATCTAAGCATATTGCTATACATTTCAGGAATGACAAAACAGAGTCACTGAGTAATTTATGTATAATAAAACCTATAACCCACAAAGGAGGTTTTTTTCTAATCAATAAAACATGTTTAGGGGTCCAATTACATTCTTCTGGATACAGTGTTCTAAAAACCAGAACTTCCTTAAAGAATGATTTAGCCTGGCCCCTTCCACGTTATGCATTATAATAGAGTCATATCAAGTGCTTGCTGAACTAGGATTTTAGTATCTTCCTTAAGTTTTTCTATTTTCCTTAAGTTTAGTTTCAACTGTTGAAGGGAAACCCACAACAGTGTTAGCCTTCAGAAAGAGAAGGATAAAATGGAAGCTAAAACGAATGCTAAGTAATGAACCAGTAAACCAAGTCCTAATAAAGCTGAGAGAAAAACAAAATTTATGTTGGAGCCTTAGAAATTCTGATTAATTTCATGTGTGATCCAAATAAGTAGGTAATTTTCAAGCCACTTGTCAATGCAGAACGACCAATAAAAAAATACTAAGTTACATTTGTGAAAACTCACATAGAGTTTTTTCCACTGCTCCTTTCTCCTCTAGATTAACTAACTTCTTCTAATCCTTAAAATGCAATCACAGTCACCACATATTTGCCACATTGGGAAGGGGAGAGTGGTTTCAAATTAGAGGAAGACCAAAGTAATCTGTCACAGAACACACTTGGTCTACAGACTCTAAATTCAATTATTAAAATGAGTTCTGCTATTGGCGCATTTAAAAAGAAAAGATTTGCTGCGCTAGCTGGTGTTGCTCAGTGGCTAGAGCACCGGGCCATGCACCAAAGGGTCGAAGGATCAGTTCCTGGTCAGGGGCACATACCTGAGTTGCGGGTTTGATCCTTGGCCCCAGTCAGAGCACGAGCAGAAGGCAACCAATCGATGTCTCTCTCTCATAACGATGTTTCTCTCTCCTCCCTCCCTTCCACTCTCCAAAAATCAATGGAAAAAATATCAAAAAAGATTTGAACTTACCAATGTAAACTATTTTCTTCGAAACATAATATGAGCAAGAAGTCAACATTGTGTAACATTTTATTCCAAAGAATTAATCATCATTAGTCATGACTTCATACCTTGATTGGACAAAAAAAGAGTTTCTTTCAGTTGTTGCTTTCCCTTTGAGTGTTTCTTCATGGGCCCAAAATTCATTCCTTATAGACTTTTTCTATTAAAAAAAATACATACAGTTTTTTTAGGGTTTCAATATTCTACAAAGTTCCACAATATCTGGGTTTAGTTTTATTATCCAAATGTCTAATTGCTTAGGTCAATTATCAGTAAAAACAATGTAATTAGGAAGACTCCATTAAACAGTAGCCTTTGGATGCTTTTTTCAATAACTAATTTCAATCATTAATAACTCATCATTTCAAGAAAAAAAACAGAATATGCTAACCAAGAATAAAATTTATTTACTTTTATTTTCCCAATATTTTTTGTCTTCTAACTTCTTTTTTATCATGACCAAGAAATAAAATAGCAAAGATCATAGATACTGAAGAGAAAAGACTAAAACTGAATAATTAAGATATGTAACTAGTTAGAAGTCTGTATTTGGGTATAATGCAAAGCAAATGGGGAGGGAGAGAAGGGGTTGCTTGCTTTTGCTTTTTATGATTTTTTTTAACTTCTCTTGCACAAAACTTTGAACACACACTAACCCTTATTTCTGAAATCAAACTGAAAATTTGTTTTTGTAATATATATTTAAAGACAAAATTTTATCATGATTTTATGGAATAGAATTTTACTGACTGAAAATTTCATTCTTCAACATAACACAGTCTTCAAACAGCATGCAGGAAAATGAAGCAGCAAGTATAAACAGAAGAGTAAATAATATGAAAAAAATTAAAATGAATGGAACAAACCTTGGAAGTTTCTAGTCTCTGGAAGAGAAAGGTCTCTCCATAAGGAAAGATGGAAGATGAATTCTCCTCATTTGAATCTTTTGGGGAAATTATAGGATGAGAATGAAAAGATGTAAATAATGGGAAACATTGTTTTTTTAAAAGGCATGTGTTTATTTTAAAGCAATATCACAACTTAAGTTTTATTCTCTGAGGGTCCAAAATTATGCTCATAATTCTTACCCCCAAATAAACTCTTCGTGATGTAGCACTCGCTATATATACCCTCACTTGTACAATAGTAAAAATTTACTATTTCTTAAAGTGTGATGTGTCAGATATATATGTCCTTGCTAACCTCTAAGATCTACATTAATTTAACCAAGCACATTTTCCACTGTATACAATGGAAATTGTCATGGTGCCATTTTTTTTCTTTATTTTATTTTTCCCATCATCGTTTCCCCCCCAATACCTCTTCCACCTCCACCCATACACCCCACAGTCATGATGTCATTTTTAATGTTAAACCTATATAATGAAAGGGTAATATGCAAATTGATCCTAACTGTGGAACACCCAGGAATGGCTGGTCACTATGACGCGCACTGACCACCAGGGGGCAGACACTCATGCAGAAGCTGCTCCATGGTGGTCAGTGAGCTCCCACAGGGGGAGTGCCACTCAGTCACAAGCCAGGCTGACGGCTGCAAGTGCAGCAGCGCCAGAGGGATGTCTGACTGCCAGCTTAGGCCTGATCCCCCAGGGAGCAGGCCTAAGCCAGCAGGTGGATATCACCCGAGGGGTCCCAGACTGCGAGAGGGTACAGGCCAGGCTGAGGGACCCCCCCCCTGTCGCCGAGTGCATGAATTTTCATGCACCGGGCCTCTAGTTCCTAAATAAGAGAATAGTATAACAGCAAAAAATTAATCTTAATTCTATTATAACTTTCAATAAGTAATTATTAAAAATTCACTATCAGAACAACTAGATGTTATATGACTCAAAAAACCAGAATCCACTTAATATAATCCTTCTGATTCCATAGCTACTAATACATCTGTAAATAAATTATTTCAAAAGAATTGCCACCATCTTTGAACTACACCAATCTACAAGAAAGAATTCTCAACACTTTCATTTTCTGATAGGGCAAAATAATTTTTAAAGGCTCAGTAGCAAGTATTTGTTTGCCATCTTATTGTTGAGAAGAATGTTCCTGAATTTGTGGAAACAGAATTTTCAGAAAAAAAGAAAAGCCCCTGTCAGTGATCAATTCACCAGAGCGATGTCAGCCCTTTCCTGTTACCATGGCAAAAATTACTTTCCATAATCTATGTTCTGTAGCTCAAACTGTCAGAAACCACTTAATTCAGTTAAATGCCTTCAACTGCGGCTAATGATAAATGAAACCTGTACAAAAAAAAAAAAAATCTTTTTACATCACCATGTGCAAATTTCCAGGTGTCTGTTTGTCTATTACTGTCTTTCATTCACTCACTTTTAAAGGTGTCTGAAGTAGTATGAACCCTAGCAGACACCATTCCCATTAGTCCCTATTCCTCAGGTGGGTTACCTTCTCCATCATGATTTAAACACATTTAAAACCATCCAATGGCCGAAACCGGTTTGGCTCAGTGGATAGAGCGTCGGCCTGCGGACTCAGGGGTCCCAGGTTCGATTCCGGTCAAGGGCATGTACCTGGGTTGCGGGCACATCCCCAGTGGGAGATGTGCGGGAGGCGGCTGATCGGTGTTTCTCTCTCATCGATGTTTCTAGCTCTCTGTCTCTCTCCCTTCCTCTCTGTAAAAAATAGATAAAATATATTTAAAAAAAAAAAAAACATCCAATGAGTGCTAATGATTTACAGAGACTTGAAATGCTAAGACTCACTGTGCTGTGTCACCGATTTTCCAGTTGAGGTAGCACCATTTCTTCTCTCACGGAAATAGCTTAAAGGAAAGGGGAAAAATAGGTTAAAATAGATATGTAAAAGGATTAATTATAGAGACATACATTCTTTTAGGTAGAAAAACATATATTCAAAAGTAAATTTGATTTTAAATAAACAGAATGGGCAAATTCCACAAATGTGTTTTTCTGAACAGCGTAAACGAAGAGATTTCAAAGAATTTTACAAGTGTTTCTCATATCCATAACTTGCAAAAGCAAACATATTTGCCCAATGCTAGTATGAACATAAAGCAATTTCAAAACCCCATCCATACCCATCTGAGAAGCAAATTTTCTAACTAGATTTCAGTATATATGCAGTATTTTTGTTATTAGTTTTATCATACTGAATAAAAAGCCTGCCTGGCTCTATGAGCACAATATCAAAATACATAAGACTTTTTTTTCTCAAAGATCTGATAGTCCTGGGGGAGAGACTTTACAAGCAATTAGTTAGTATACAACCTAACAGCAAGCCAGAGGAAAACACTGTGGAAGCAGAGGATAATGAATACCTACCAGAATATGAAAGACTTCTATCTAGTTTTCCCTCTCAATGTAAAGATCTGGACACCTGTCCTCATATACTTATCTGTCCAAGTAACTAAAAGCAAGTAAATAAATAAAAAAAAAGAACTGAAATCAATAAAATAAAATATGAACAAAATTTAAGTGACTGCAACCAAAATCTAGTTCTTTGAAATGATCAATAAAATTGATCAACCTCAGAGAAGGTCAATAAAAGAGAGACAGAAGACATAAATTACCAATATCTGGAATGAAAGAGGGAACATCACTACAAATCCTATGAGCATGAAAGCGATAACTACAGATTACTAAGAAAACTTTATGCCAATAAATAAGATAAAATTGAAAAACTCCTTGAGATACAAATTAGCAAATATGACACAAGAATACATAGAAAATCTTGATATCCCTATATCTATTAGAGAAATTGAGTTTAGTAATTAATCACCTACCCACAAAAACTCTATGTCCAGATATTTCATTGATGAATTCCACCAAACATTTAAGGAAAAATGTGACACCAATTCTACACTAACTGTTTCAGAAAATATAGAAGGAGGGGTAGTTCCCAACTCATTCTTACGTCCAGTATTACTGATACCAAACGAGTCAAAAACAAAACTACATATAAATGTTAGATAAATAGACCCCATGAACATGAATGCAAAAATAATTAAGAAAAAGCAAGTCAAATCCAATGAGATATATAAAAAGGATAGCCCCAACTGGGTGGCTTAGTTGGTTAAACTGCCATCCCTTCTACCAAGTAAGGTTGCGGTTCGATTTTCTCTCTTTCTTTCTCTCTCTCTCTCTCTCTCAAATCAATAAATATATCATATGCTTGGGTGAGGATTAAATAAAAAATAATATAAGCACATGACAGGAAATAAAATATGTTTAACATGGAAAAATCTATGTAAGTCACCAAATTTAGAAAATATGGGAGATAAATCGCATGCTCATGACCATAGATCCAGAAAAAAACACTTGACAAAATTCAACACCCACTCATGAAAAAGCTCTCAGCAAACTAGGAATAGAAGGAAATTTCTGCAACCTAATTAAGGGCATTTATGAAAAACCTACATCATAATTAATGGTTAAAGTCTGAATGGCTTCACCTAAGATTGGGAGTAAGGCAAGAAGGTCTGCTCTCCCACCAATATTCACCTTATTTCAGAGGTCCAGACCAGTACAATAAGAGAAGAGAAAGAAATGAACGGTATGCAGATTGGAAGGTATCTTACAATTAAAAGGTATCCAGGTAAGCCAAAAATCCTAAGGAATATACTAAAAAGCTTCTCAAAAAAGTAAGTCTAGCAAGGCACAAGGATAAAAGGTAAATACTTTTAGAGTTCAATAATATTTCTAAATATTAGCAATGAACAACTGAAAAAAATAGTTTGAAAAGACAACTTTCATTGTGAAATGCTAAGGGATAAATTTATTAAAATATGAGCAAGATCTGCACATTGAAAACTATAAACGTTGCTGAGAAAAATTAAAGAAAATCTAATTAAATGGAAGAATATATGGAAAACTGAATATTACAAAGACGCCAATACTTTCTATGTTAATCTATAGAGTCAATGCAAAAAAGTTACAGAAGTGAGTGAATGTGTGCATGTGTGTGTTTGTGTGTACGCGCGTGCCCACATATGTATGTAATTTGACAAGTCAATTCTAAAATTTATATGAAAAGGCAACATAACAAGAATAACTAAGAAACTTTTGAAGAACAGGTGAGAAGACTTGCTCCACCAGGTATCAGGATTTATTATAAAGTTGTAGTAGTTATACACTATGTTACTGATAAAAGGATAAATAAGTACTAGATATAAAGACAGATAAAAGTAGAATAGAGTCCATAAACAGACCCAATTTTCATTTAAGACAATTATGTCAATATTGAGCAATGAGGAAAGCATGGTCTCCTTAATAAGTAGATCACTCAGATATCCACACAGTATAAACGACACTTCATGCCTACCTCAGATTATATATGGAAACCAATTCAAGGCAGATTATAAATCCCAGAGTGATAGGCCAGACAAAGCTAGAGGATAAAATAGAATATCTTCATGTGACTTAAGACACAAAAAGTTCAACCCTAAGGGAAAACATTGGTAATTTGAATAAATTAAAATTATAAACTTTTATTCATAAGTCACCATCAAGGAATAAAAAAGCAACAGGTAGAAGGGGAGAAGATATATTCAACAAATGGCTCATACCCACAGTCCATAAATAACTTTTAAAAATCATTATGAAAGGCAGAAAATGTAATTCAAAACAACAAACAGAAAAAAATGGGTAAAATACTTGAAAAGGCACCACACAAAAGAAGATATAAGCATGGTCAATAACCAATAAAAACATTAAAAGGTGCTCGATTTTGTTAGTCTTCAGAAAGTACAAATTAAAATCACAATAAAATATCACTATACACCCACCTATATACACAACCCAATGTGGTAGAGGGTCTGAAACAAAAGGAATGCACAATCACTTTATAGGAACAGTTTTGCATTGCCTACCAAAGTGGAAGACAATCATATCCAATAACACTTCGGAGCAATTTTACTCCTATGTATATACTCTACAGACGTGCACCTATAGATATGCTCCAAAATAAATTAAAAAACCACCCAACGTATGTCCTCATGTAAATGAATAAACAAGTTATGGGACATTCACACAAATTCAACAACAAAAGTAACAAACTGACATGCAGCAATATAGATGCGTCTCAAAACCACCATGCTGAGTAAAAGACACCAGATACAAAATATTACTGCTATATGATTCCATGTATATGGAATTCTAGAACAGGCAAGACTGACATAAGGAGATCAATAGTTGCAGGATACAGGGAGTAATTTACTGCAAGTGGACAAAAGAGATTTTTTAGGGGGGAGTGGATGAGTGACTGAATGTTCTAAATCTGGATGTGGTAGTGGTCACACAGGTATATGTATTTACCAAAACTCATCCACCAGTATACTTAAAATGAGTCTATTTTATATGGAAATTAGATATAAATCTGACTTACATTTGTCTAGAAATAATTTATATATGCACGAAGACATATACTATCTATGCAAAATACCAAACCAGGTTGAGAATTATCAAGTATCTGTCAATGGAATGACTATCATGGTATAGAACAGTGATGGCGAACCTATGACACGCGTGTCAGAGGTGACACGCGAACTCATTTTTTTGGTTGATTTTTCTTTGTTAAATGGCATTTAAATATATAAAATAAATATCAAAAATATAAATCTTTGTTTTACTATGGTTGCAAATATCAAAAAATTTCTATATGTGACACGGCACCAGAGTTAAGTTAGGGTTTTTCAAAATGCTGACACGCCGAGCTCAAAAGGTTCGCCATCACTGAATAGTCTATATGTCAAGAATTGGTTACAGAATATTTTTCAGTTATAGGGCCTATTGTAGATTTTGTGGTATGTTATAAAGAAACATAATTTTAAGTATACTATCCTACACATTGTTCAAAAGAAATATTAGAACACAGTTTAAACATTTGAAAGTCCTAAACTCCAATGGTTTAGGACTTTCATTACAAAACCTAGAAAGAAGATCATAGAGCCCCCTTGAGGCTTAATCAAGAATTTATGAGATGGTGCATGTTTGAGAACATATTAGAAAATTTGGATGCATTCTTTTTAATTAATTTATTTTTGAGGGGACACTGAGACTTCAGACAGAATGACTTCCCAGCACTTTTGCTCTCAGTAGTCTAGCTAAGTTTTTTAAAAAAAGATAAAAGTTGTCTTTGGCAGGGGAGGAGCATACAAGTTTAACAAAGGATTAAAAAATACTTCACCCTCTATTTGTTCATTATCTCCAGATTCTTCATACTGTTATCTACACTAATAAAAGAGAAACATGGTAATTAGCGTACGACCGCTACCCTTCCCATTGGCTAATCAGCATATCCTTATGCAAATTAACTGTCAGCCAAGATGGCGGCCGGCAGCCATGCGAGGAGGATTCTGCCTCATCAAACTAGTTCTGCATAGTGAGTGTGTGGGGCTGGGGGAGGTGGGCTGTGTGAGCAGGTACCTGTGTGTGAATGAATATGTGCAAGTGTGTATGCTTGGAGAAGCCAGGGCCAGGACCATGGAGCATCATTTAAGGAGGCACTCACTCTCAGGTGCTGACCCTGCACTTGCACGACCTCAGGAGTGGGTGCCTCCTTAAACACATATTGTGTCTTGTGCCTCATGCTGCCTCACCCTAGTCCAAGCCTTGTAAAATTCATATCTGTGTAGGGAGAGTCATGTCCTTGTCCTAAAGAGTCTTCCAAACCAAGGATAGATGTCCTCAAATTTTGGGTTTGGGGGGACTCTGGAAGGTCATCCAATGCAGTGGCAATCAAATGTTAAAGTACATCAGAATCGCCTGGGAAGAGCTGTAGACCCTAGATTCCCAGGCCCCACCC